ACGACTCAACAGCATCTGCCTCTTCTATACTGTCATTAGACAGCCTTCGCTTGGGTCGGGATTCAAGACGCCGGGAAGGACTCGGTCGGGATGCCAAGGGAGGCGTCGGGACCGGCTCCGACAGGCTCTCGTTTGTGCAACATTCTTTGTTGCCCAAAGTAGTAACTAGGGCAGCTTGAGTGCCCGTCGAAAAATTTGTAGGGCTGGTGCAAGATGTTGGTTCCTCTGAACTGATTCGAGTGCTGTACTCCCAATCTCGACTGCTTCGTTTCCATGATGGTGCTGCCATTTGCAGCGATTCTGGCGAGTGGACTGTTTCGTCATTTATCGTCGGCATGGATTGGCCCATCCTATCAGGTTCCACAAAGTACTCACTAGAAGCAGGCGGTCAGTATTGCTGTATATTTAAACTGTCTGCCTTTGAATACCTTGCCACAGCCAAGCGAGACCCATTGGATGTGCCAAGAGGGCTTATTTCGTTTCTGAAATCTCCGGCTAAAGGTACTGCCGTAATGGAACCGCGGTGATAAGATTTCGGCACCAGTAGATCTTGCTTGCTCTCTTGTGCAACTTGATTCCGTGAGACTGGTGTTGCATCGCGGGCTGTGTCCGAGTCGTCCACAAAATAGTCGGGATATATCCTCGCTCTCTCAGCACTGGACGAAGGCAGGAGGCAGCTGGATACCAAAATGTAGCCCCTCCATGTCTTGACAATTTGGAAGTGATCTTCCATGCGGATTTTATCCTAAACGGGATGTTGTTGTTGAAGCTCCGTCTTAAAGGAAGGGTGTTACAAGCTCATGGCCGCTTGTGCAAAGATGCCGATTTATCACATCAGACACCAAGGGACGCGCAGTCCCTTGCTTGCTTGCTTGCTATTTCATCCTCGCACCCATTGCGGGGAGCGGCGGCAACGGCGTGCCATTGTTATTGCGTCGATGGCCAGGGCATTTTCGTGGCTGTCGGGTAACGCAGACAATCGGAACTTGTGGTGTCGATCGGCTGGTGGGCAGATGGGCCACTGGGGAAAAAGAAAAGAGAAACATGCGGCTATCCGAATGATGCATAAAGAAGCCTCAGTGGAGAGTTTGCGACATGGCAAAGCCACAAATCTTGACATCTCATACACATCTCTGTATAATGTCTTTCCGAGTCAGCCCTAATGTGCCTTGTTAGCTTTTTGATGTGAGACAAAAAACTATCCTTCTGTCTCATTCATTTGCCTCATCCGCAGCGATGACTCCCAGAATTCGCTCGGCAGATCGGTAACTTGGATCAAGGCACTGGTGGCGGCACTTGGTGCGAAGGGCCCAACGTTTGGGGGCTGTATAAGTTGGAATTTGAATCAAAAGTCTCAAATGTCTGGCCAATGCGTTGAGTCTTTGCTCAATCACACGGCAAAGGGCCAGAGACTCGGCACTTGGAACATGAGATAGCACCCTGGAACCATGCAGCCGCAGAATAAGCCAACCCGCTTACCAGCTCTAAGCGTACGACGAAAGGGTTAGGGTTGGGGTTGTCATCTCCAACACGCCCCCAAAAAACCCCAAAACGATAGCGGCGGTATTCTTCTGGATGTCTTGGAATAGCTTGAAACTCACTCGCGTGCTGGCTCCAGCACCTAGAGAGCTTTGATGTATACCACGCATAAATACAGCATACAGCACACTTCTAAGCATGTTAAGAAGTCATCCGTCCGCTTGGCCATGCATTGTGACCTAAAGGTCTCGAGGGGCACTGCGCTGGTCGTCACAGGGATGGGCTCCTCCCAGACACCCAGAGACAACATTTGAACAATAGTCTTTCTTGGAGAGTTCCCGACAGGCACCGCGTAGACTTGTTATTGGGACTCCGATTGCAACTCTCCAAAGCTCTTCCAAGAGACACCGGCTGGGGCAACGATAGAATCCAACGACGAAAAGCGTGGTGGCCTGTACACTTTCCCTCGACTAGCGAGTGTGTATACGTACCAAGTCATCTGGTGGGGGAGAGTTCGGAGTAATAGCCGGCAATAAAAAGGACTTGACATGGAGACATGGAGTGTGGATGACCCGACCGTTGCTCGCGTACCTGACCTGATGACCACCATTACCACTACGATCTTAGGCCTAGTACAGCGGAGTAATAGTGGAGCTATAGTAGAGTTACAATATCTAATTTCCTAGATGACTGCTTAGGGTTCAGATTGGCTCAAGTTAGGTTATGTAGGTGTTAGGAGTTAAGGTTACGGTCAAGGTTAGCTATAGCATATGGGATGACTTAATTAGGCAAGAGCAGTGGTCGGGTCGGGTCAACTACAGCGGTCGAGTCAGGTCACGTAGACGAGCAGTAGTTGGGTGGTATGCATTCTCGCTATGGAGGATTCGGCCTGGCTCGTTTATTCAGCTTTCGGTCTCGATTCGTCTTTGAGGAGGCGGGAGTGGCGTGTTTCTCAAGGCATGAGGCTTTTGATTGGCGGCGACTTCTGTATGCAACTAGAATGGGCTCAGCTATCCAATATATATCTGCACGTAAGAAAGGGTTACATTCAATATACTCCGTACTCCATAAGACCTATGATTCACTCCGCTGCGTTTCTGCAGTGGCTTGATCACAAGACCGAAAGCTCAAATCATCTCTGGATGAGAGGACGGGCACATGTATCTCTCGGAAAGCATAAATACCTGCCCGCCTGCCTCTGCTCCCAACTGATGATTCAATCTCATCCATCAAGTCTAACCTACTGGACACCTTTTACCATCGCTTCCACCATCATTTTCCAGCAAACATGAAGTTCACACTTGTTGCCATGGCTGCCTTTACCGGGCTCGCACTCGCCAGCCCCATCGAGGAGCTCGACAAAAGATACACCGACTGGGCAGGCTGCATGAAGATTTGCAACACGCCGACCTGTGCCATCAAAGACTGCTGGTCGTGGTGCAATAGGGTCTGCTGCAAGGAATACTGGAACTCGACCTGTTAAACTATAAAGACCTTCTCCCTGGGCAACTTGATGCATCTTTTGGGGGACGGCTTTCGTCGGTCAACGGAACTTACACGAGGTTGAGCTTCAGCTGACCACCAGCTGATTATGACTGGACAAGCAAATGAAGTATGGAAGGGCATATGAAGGGAACTGGTCATGTAATGAGCATACGAATATTAGCACATTGGGAATAACGCCATGACCTTGCATAACTATCTATGACTATCGTTGGGCAGCATTGCATGTGTGGTCCAAGCCCATGTCTGCTAGTTGACGTCCCGCCACACCGATGAACCGCGCCGATGAACCGCGCCGATATCCGGTGGAGGCGTCAACGGTATGTCCAGTATGGCCTTGGTGAATGAAAAGTGGCCGTCACAGTCAGGAGGCACAAAGGGCAGCGGGCCTCGTCAGAGCTTGTCCCCCCGCCCCCGTTGTCGTGACCAGTCGCACGTAAAGCCCAGCCATCTTGTTGACTGTTGTTGAACTAATAAAACAATGTACATGGAGAGCAAGCCACCTACAACTAATAGTGAAAGTCTGTCCGCGGCTTAGCATGACAATGATTGAATGCTGGTAGACATGTCAGCGCAAAACTGAGCGGTCAACTACTGTCAAGTACGTCGGTCCTTGGAAACGGTGAAAATGCCATCACAGGGCTTGGCAAGTTGTACATGGCGTAAGGTTGTGCAACTCAGGGTTGCTCACTTTCGTCTGTCGGGCGGAGTTGATGCAGTTCACTAGAATATCTTCTGCTATAGCTAACTGACCAGGCCTTCCAGTCACGTTCCGGTGCCGCCTAAAGCGGTGGCTTAAACAGCGCTTTCTGGAACTAGACTGTATTTGTCAGGTAGCATAATTCTTGTCAAGAGGCAGATCAAGCTTGCATCCTCTGCCCGCAGTATTTCTGGGGTATGGCAAATGCGGACTACCCAACACAAAAGGCGGTCACTAACAGGTCAGCTGTGGGTAGGAGGGAAATCCAGTCAACTTCAATACACCATTGATGGACCATCCGAGTGTGATTGTGACCACACGTACACGGTCGTGAAGGATTGTTGGTACGGACATGAATCACAACGCCACAATCGAGTCCAGCACTTGTCCTTCAAATTCTTCAAATTGAATTGCTACTGTTCATCGGCAAGAGGACCGCAAAGATTTTCGACAAGCGCAGTATGCTCTTGCAAATAATAAACAGTTTGACCGTCGGTGATTGCAAACCTCTTCGAGAGGGCTGGGGTTTTCATGAGTTCGTTTTATCACATGTTTTTCTAAGAGTAAGACTCACTTAAGTCTCACGCATTTTTACGCTGTATATCGAGCCGTTGGCATTCCGCAATTAAGACTACTCCGCTATCATCTAGCCAGTTGACTAAGGACCTTACAAATTAGGCGGTTTCGCTGCCCAGTGCGAGTCTACAGCTTGTAAGCCCTCAAGAAGAAGCTATTCAGGTGACCAGACCTTGATCTCGTGCTGCAAGAGGTTCACAGCTATACGATGTCGTAATCTTCGTCTGCTAGATCGCAATGAGAAACATCTCTGGCTTGGTGGCGTTAGGTTGACTATCTTTGGGGGCTATAACTATTGTCCTGTCCTCGTTATGCCCCGAGAAGTACAAAGTCATGAGATATCTCAAACTCGTCGCTCGTTCACTGTCAACATGCTCTAATCTGAATTAGATAAATTCCATGCCAGACTCATTGTCTACCTTCTGTACCGAAACACTTCACCGCCACAAGGACTTAATTACACCAATTCATAATGCCGGCCAAAGTTATTCTCCCCGGGGACAGTTATTCAAACAACTAACTAATTGTTGACAAGGTCACAATAGCTCAAGAATGGCTTGCAGCTCGCCTTTTCCTCCTCTCCAAGAAGAAGAACACGCCAAGGTCGCTGATTCAATTCACGCCGAGCGCCGAGCCCTCCCCATGGTGCCCGTGACAAAAAAATACTTTCCACACCGCCAACGCACCTGCCCAGCTCAAGGACCTTTTCGGCCTAAACTCTCGGCTTATTGTCTGCCACTTCATGTTTGAGCCTACTGCCGAGGAAGGCTGCCGCGGGTGCGGCTTCATGGCCGCAAATCTTCGCAACTTGCTACAACTCGCTCAAAAAGACGCCACAGTTTTTCTCGTCTCTCGTGCTCCCGTCGACAAAATCACTGCGGTCAAGACGAAAGACTTTCTGGGGGTTCAGTGGGTGGCAAGTTATGGTAGTGATTTCAACTATAACCACCACGTCACATTGGACGAAAACGTCACCCCCGTCGAGTATTTCAAAATGAAAGAAGAACTTGATGCTTCTAGGCAGGGGTATTGCGCGAGCGGAGAGCAGCCTGCTTTAAGCATTTTGAAACTCCATGACGACCAAGTATAGCCATACCTATTATTCCTACTTCCGTCTCAATGAGCGTACTGGTACTATTGCTTGGTTTGACTCGACACCTGCTGGGAGAAAGGAGGGGCCTGAAGGTCCAGTCGAATTCAAGCTGCTATCGACTATCTAGGGATGGAAGAAGAGTGGCAACTAATGATTTCACGTAACGGTAAGTTCTGTTTTTTTCTATTCTTTTTCTTTTTTTATCTAGAAACTAGTCTAGTGGAAGGAAAAAGCTACCAAAAAAACATTTAGGCTAATATGCTTGCCACTCTTTATATTCGAATAATGATACGCGATATCTGTTTCTGCACTCTCTTTTCTAAGAATTCTATGTTGACTTTCTAAATAAGACGAGAACTTATTATATAAGCTACGCATACCGTTCATTGTTGATTATCTCACACTCTTCCCATACAAAACATTCTTCATCATACTCTACGAAAAAAAGTGGTATGATTACGCTACAGGCTTTTCCCCGGGTTTTTATTCCCGAGTCGAGTGTCTGGGAGATGTGATTCCTTCATCAGGGTAATACCACGGGTTGAACTTTGTGCCAAGATCATCTAATCGTATCACTAGCCACCTCAAAATCTTCCAATATGGAACCACGCGCACCTGCGGTAAGGGTCGGACCGGATCCAAGTGCCAGTCTAAAAACGGTAGTTCTTATGGCATGTGTAGCGAGAAACTTACGTGATTAGACAGCACTAAATTGCACTGTTATAGTTTAGAACGGCGTGAAGAAGAAATGCCACAATAAGAAGCTCTAATGGTAAGCGGGTCGGTCCGGCTAAGAGAATATTTATTTAGGGGTTAAATTACAGTAGCTCTTATGCCAGGAAGTACTCGCCTTGACCCAGACGGTAAGACTTTTGGAGCGCACCTCCGTATATATACAAAGTCGCGGGAAAAGACTGCATGTCGCAGGTAGAACAACGGCAGGGTGAGACGTGGGGGAGCGGGGTAACAACAAATAAGATACCGGGCCATGAACGCGGGATACTAAAAATATACTATAAGGCTTAATAATAAGCTTAACCGCAAGAAAAGTAGGGCATAGTAAAGATCCTGCGCACCTAGCAAAAAGTTACTACGCCTCGAGCAATCCACGACTATACCTGACTATTATATTAGAGAATCTTGGATGGAAATATTATAGTGTATTTCTCTGTTTTCTGGCGTTTTGTACTCTTGTTATTTGGGTTGGGTGCCCTGAAACAAAGGGTCTGTCTTTGGAAGAAATGACCACCATCTTTGATGGTGAGCACTCGACACTGAAGCATGGCGTTTCTGCCAGCCTTGAAAGCAATGGTAAGTCAGGAGGTTTGATTCAGATGGAGCATGCCGAGGTGTAGGACCGGCAGCGTCGACACATTGTTTTGTCGCCACCGTGAACCCAGAGTTCTGCAAGCGCTGTCAAATCGGCGATTAGAAGTTAAGCGCCATATATGAGACACCTTGTTACGTTGCAAGAGTGGGAGTTGGTATACCAGGTTATTACAGTTATAATGGTATCTAGTTCAAGGCTGGGATGAATTTAAAATACTACGCCGCCCCTTGCACGTTGGAGCTGTCAACTACATAAATGTACGGGGAAAGCACATGGACAATATAAACTTCCGGCTCAGCATGCTACTGTGCCGCGGTGGCATCTCGAATAGAACGACCAGAGTCAGAGCTTAAGGGAACGCACGACGGCAGGCGCAGGGTTTTTATACCAAGACTGGAACGACTTAAAGTGACGTGCCATTTATTTAGGCATCTAGTTCTGTGCAGGTTTCAGCGGCAATAATACTCAACGAGGCCTTTTAGGCGCTCGTCAGTCTCGTATTGCTTTAGTGCCGTCTCCCTCCACCGTGTCCAGTCTTGACCGGCTCCAAAGACTTCAAGTATGGCACTTGCCAACGGCAACGCGCGTGACCATTTGGGTTCCAAAGCCAGACCCCAGAAGAATCTTCGCACCTTCTCATCCGTCACACAGCTAGAGATGCCCCTTTGCCGCAGTGCATCCTTCAAGGCAACATCATCGGAGCTTAGCGAGACCTTGCCACGGCACAAGGCACTCATGTCGGCAGTGACAAGTGATGGCCCAAAGGCTTCACGTCGAGGTACGACACGTGCCATCTGCCAGTCAATAATACCGGTAATGTGAAGGTTTTCGTCGACGAGTAAGTGGTCGCCTTTGTCGTCGACGTGCTTTAAAAAGAAGTCCTCTCGAGATTTTGCTTCTCCTTGTTGGGCTAGCTGAGATGCGCTGTCCTTGAGAAAACGGTACACCAGGTAGGCATCGACAGGATACTCGGTATACAGTTGGCCATCCGCAATCAGCTTCAAGTACTGCTCGGCGAAGGCAGTATAATAGGCGGTCGAATTATGAAATGGACCATGAGGAGTGAGGACGACGAACCTGTCGCTTGCTACCGCCGACACTTCAATGTTGGATAACTGAAAGCACAGAGACCCAGCTTTGGGAAAGGGGTGGTGTTCCAACTCGAGCAGGATTTCGGCCAGGTCACCCCAGATCCTTGCCTTTTCGTCCTCAGTGGCCTCTTTGCCGGACGCACCCTCGCCTGTCCAGGGTCTTCCTGGTAGTTCTTCCATGAGAAGGAAACTTAGGCCGACACCATGGTCGGCTCCATTACCGCATACACCATGACCGAATGCTTGAGGTGCCGGCACCGTGGTGGTTTCGAGGAATTTCAACGTTGCGTACTCGCTGAGTATCAGATAGTCTGCCAAGGAGACGGGAAGACCAACGGCGAAGCTCGCAACGCGAGGAATTCGCAGGAGCCATGAGGGAGAGCCGTCGTGGAAGCGAATGCGGGCATGATAGTTGGCGCTTCCCATGAGGGCGCCCGGTCCAACTTTGGAATAGTGCTCGATACTGCAACTCCTGCCACCATTCAGCCTGGACGCATATTGGCATGCAGCCTCGTCATTAATCTGAGAGCGAAGACGATGGATCTCGGCGACAATCTGTGACGTATAAGTTGCATCATCCAAGGCCTGTTCCTCCGGCCACATTTAGTATTCGATTTTGAGAGGTTCTGAAACGGGCTGCGGTAAAGAGAAAAGGGACTGGTTTCGTACCTCGTCGCACGTATGGAGAGGAGGAGACCGGTGGGTGAGGCATAGGTGGCGATTACAGCTATCGTATCCGCCGGTTGCTCTGACGCTTGGCCTTTCACAATCTGGCACTGAGCAGCTGAAGAATCTGGGCGCCATTGCGAGTATAAGTTTGACCTGAGTCCTATTGGGAAAGTATTGACGGTCAACAGTTGTCGCGGGACATCTTCAGGTTTTCACGCACTGACATGAAGATAGCACCAGACTCCTCGTACGGCGCCAAGGTGCACGAGCCACCCCCGTGTGAGACCCAGCCCATGCGACCCAACTGTGATGAGGGCTTGGAATAACTTCGCATTCAGCTAATCATCTAATATTCGCGATAATATTAAAGGTTCTTGGTTCTCTTAAACCCTCAAGGGTAGATAGTAACCCTTATTTATATTAAATAGCGGCAAGTAAGCGAGCCTAAAAGCCCAAGGCCTTAACTCGGTCTCGAGCCCTTGTGTAACTATCGTCGGGTTCAAGGTTCGGCCTGTGTCTTCATGGCAAGTCAATGTGAAGAACCGTGTCGAATCAAGCTCGGGCATTTCCTGATTTGGCTGGACGATTTGCCATACATAATCTCATGCAGTCTGAGCTGTCGTATTCTGCCTAGGTGTGTCTTGCTACATGTCGAGAAGCAAGTTACTACGACCCGCCAAGGGGCCACTGTGCTTGAGAGCAATGGCGCTCTTGGGGCTCGCTCTGTACATGTATTCGACATTTTGTTACGTCTGATTTGACTTGACGCAAAAGCTGCGAGAGACTGAGGGGTTCCTTCTAAGCTCGTCTGGAGGAAATCCAGCTGGGCCGAGACTATGCAGTTTTACTCGAGATGAGGTCTGGAAGACATGTTCTGCAGTTACCCTGCTGCGCTATGTCCAAGTCTACGCGAGATGAGCGGCAATGCGGACATCTTCTTTGTTGTGCTTGAACCCGCGTGCGGTGTTGCTCCACTTGATAGCAACCTGGTTGTTTGTTTGTCCAAGACGTCTGTGCCTTTTTACGTAGGACATTTCTTGTCCAGAGGGAGGCTGGTGTTTCCTGGCTGACATTGCACATTGGCAGTGTATGTGGTTCCCTCCTTATTTCCTTGTTGGACCGTCCCGCTTCCGAGTACCTCTGTCAACATCTTACAGCAACAAGGGACTCGGACTATGAAAGACAATGACGACTGGGTCCCGCAACAAGCGAGATTGGCAGCGCCGCGGCTCAGGATTTAAACAGGACAGTACGGTAGTTGCCAAGCCAGTGGTCAATAGACATAGTACTCAGCTTCGGTGGCCACATGCGTGTGCCAAATCATGTTAGGAGGTTGAACACGCTGTTAAATAGTATTTGTCAAACAATTGATTCAACATGTAGTCGTTTCGTACGGTCAATTCACGGCCAAGACGGTCAAACATATTACTAGGTGCGTAGTTGGCCAGCAGAATTGGCACCATGTCGTCACATACGGGAACCTTCGATCTTCTATGGTTTAATAAAGTCCCATTTCTAGGCTGGCTCTCAGGGCCCGCAGGTACGGCTACGTTGGCACCAATATTCTCGGCACACTGGCCAAGCGCCACGCGGAATACAGCATTACCGCTCTCTTGAAAAAATATATGTGTCGCCAAGCACTTCTCTCTCATTTTCGATAGTCTCAAATCGTCCTGCCAAAATGTCTATTCTATCATGCTCCGACAAGGGCCCGGAGGGAAAGGACGAGCCAGACATCCTAAAGAAGCAACTTCACTTTGAAGGCGGTGACGTTTCATTTTACATCTTTTTTGCTTAAGCAAACATGAAAACTTCTTGATCACCCCGACCGGTACTAAGACTGGCTATGGTACCCTGGCTTAGCCCCAGAGCTCCCGGCCCGGCACCGGATCCTTCCGATCTCAGCTCGACATGCTATGTCGCTTCACAAAAACACTCAGAAAACCATGCGACTCTTAATTTCGGACCCAGCCAGTCAGCTAGAAAGATTGACGCATAAATTCGAATTCCTCAGTGTCCCCCAAGCAAAAACTGATGCGGCACGAGGAGTAGATGACATAATATGCATCCTGAGAAGGACGAGGATGTAAAGTGTACCCTTTCGTACTACATGACTTCCTCTGCTAATACTGTGTTGGCATCTGCGACTCATTAAGCGGACCCTGCCCCAGGTCCTCATCTTTCAGAAATGGCTCACTCAAAGACCTTTTGGAGGTCAAAATGAAGAGCCCCCAACCGCACCTGAGTGGAGGGCCTTCAAGCTGTGCAGCTCTTTAATCCTTTTTATATTCATATGATACCCGACGATGACGGCGAGACAAGCAGAAGCAGTTCACTACTTCCCTTCTTGCTTCGGTAAGAAACTTGACGCATGCAAACTGACGTGGATGAGTTCAGTCCTGTAGAATATGCACCGCCATTAGCCTTTGTCACAGACCAACTGCAGTGGTGACCAGTGAGAAGCCGCATTCTACCTTGTGCGGGATATCGCGGTTAATATTAGTCTCAGTGTGATGGCGCAGTGCAGGCTGTGGCATTGCCTGCGAGACCTGGGACAACCAGACCGCCAATGACCCCAGCCGCGGCACGAGGCCAAACTAAACTGAAACAGTCGCAAGTTTTGGATGCTAAATAGTATAATGGAAGACTGTATCCTCATGATTTGATAGGTTTGTAGGCCCGGGCTCTAATCGAGGCAGAATCACAATCTTCTGGAGCCATTGTTCAAAAATTGTGATACATTCTCTATAACAGAGCAATATATATATGAGACACTTATTAATAAGCGGAAATATTAGTATAATAAGCTATTATAATATAATATAAGATTAACTTTCCTACTTGTAATAGTAGAACAGAGATAAATATAAAAGTAAAGCTCATTTCTCCTAATCTAGGTTTGAAATTTCCTAACTTTTTAAGGCTAGAATTCCTCATCTAGAATATTACATTTACGGGAATAGTCTTCTATTTTAATAATCCGGAGCTAATAGCTAGCTAGAATACTGGTATAGAGGAGCACTCTTTCTCAGTGGCGATTACTCTCTATTTGAATTCGTGGTTGTATGCTCCTCCATGATAACTAGCGCTTACTCGGCAGGCATGAATCTTCTTCTTCCGTATTGGCAAACCCAAAGTGGTCTTGGGCCGTCTGCCAGAACCTCTTGGAGCGGAAGTCACGGATTGACACCGAAACCCCTTGGGGCAAATAACGCCAGCAGTCTCGATATAAAACCCAGAAATGCAAGTTTTGCGTATCTCACATGACCCCAACATCAAGCGCTGGATGAGTCTCTTCTAACATGATGGCCGGTTCGAGCGTCCCTTTCATGGGTCGCGCTGGCAGCGGGAAGTGCACCATCACATCTCTGCTCAGCGCTTGTATAAATCAGATTTCTTCAACTGCCCATCGTTGTCCGCCGCGTCGTAGACGTTCTCGCCTATCCCAAGCTCCCAGCATGAAGTAAAAGTCCACGGCGGACTCACAACACAGCATTAGGCAGTGTGCGCGACAGACCAGCTGTCCACCGGGCATCCATAAGCTGGGTGTCAATTGATGTGCGAGTTCAAAAGCCGCCTGGCGTTTTGTTTCAAAACGCAGCCCCTTGCCGCGGCAAGTGGGAAGCGGCGTGACAACGGAAGGTGCGATCGGGTCATAAACCACTTTTCGGCCGCCCGTCTTCAACCAAGTCCCTTGGTCACAACCAAATCCGGTCTGGTGGTCTAGTGGTATGATTCTCGCTTAGGGAGAACCCTGATGCACTGCTTGCGAGAGGTCCCGGGTTCAATCCCCGGCCAGACCCATCTTTTTGCCATTTCTTTAAATAGCCTTTCTTCCGTTTTTAAGGAAATGGATCAATTTCTTTTGCTGGAAAATGAAGGCTGCTCGGGGTGGATGGGTTACAGAGTTTGTGCGTGCCCCACAGGTCCAAATTGGGGCTAAGTTGTTTCTCCGGATCCGCCACACGTTTTTGCTCGAGGGGCGGCTGTCCCACTAAACAGAGTCCCATGTCTCGGCCTGCTTGCCGCCGACACGCATTTAGCGCTGTGACAGATGAAGATATGAGATCTACTTCATAATGGTAGCCTTTGGATACTACCATTGACAGACCTCAGCTCTTCCTCCGTCTTTTCTAGTTCCTCCCTCACAAGTCATGCTCCCAACCCACGAGCCCATTGAAGATGCCCTTTGGAGTCACATCACCCAGTGTCCCATGACATGAGATGGCTTCAAATACAATGTCGTCACTGACCTCGCTAGCACCCAAAAGCGTGGTATCTTGCTGCAAGCGCCAAGGCTCGCATAGGCTTGGAGAGTTTTGGCCCAAAAAGTTGTTTGTGTAGAGCTTTTGCAAATTTGTGGCCCCGCAGGTTGAATTGGTGAAGCAGAGCAAATTCTTCAAAGGCCCGAGGATAGACACCTGAGAACCCCCAGTCTAAAAGAGCAATTCGCTCGCCAACTCTAATGTTGAACTGGGTAAGATCGCAATGGCAGATGGAAAGTCGCTCCCCTCGCAATTCAACCCGATCTGGATACTCTGCTTCGTCCAGCTTCTTGTTGATCCAGTCCTCCAGCTCTGCCAAATCGTTAAAAGTGCGACCTGCCCCAAAGTCCGCGAAGAATCTATCGATAGGCATCTGTTGGTCAAAAGGTCCTAGTGGTACGCTCGGTGGTAGTGGAATATCCCAAATATGGCGGACAGCGGTCGCGACGGCCTCCATTGCTTGCTCGGCTGCTTGCGGATGCTCCTTGTTGAAGTCAACATAATCCCTGCCCTTCACATTCTCCATGATGATGTATGTCATGGGTGGATGACCCGGCCGAGATGTGCGGAAAGCGTCGAAAACTTTGGGAATATGGACGATAGCAAGATCCGCATTTTCGTGTACATATTTTTGCATCGCGGCTTCCGCCAACCTCACCGTCACGCCGTATTTAATCCAAATCTGATCGTTGTATGCAAAGCCGCCAGGCTCCGGTCCTTTCGCGTCACAGAGACCTGGCACAGCATCGCGAGGAGGTATTTGAATCTGGGCCATTTTTGTTTCTGAACCAAGGATTTTTACCCACTTAGTTGGCAACGTGTACTCCGTAGTGGGCTCCAGGAAATGAGATCGCCGCACAAAAGATTCGTCTTACGGGAAAATATTGAGCCGAGGGGATCCAGGGCGATGAGGCTACCCTACAGCTAAGTTGGGGTCGGGTACTTGTCTGAGTGTTAATACCGTCTGGTGCATCAGCTTGGATGGCACAGTGAGCTGGAATGAAGTTTCAAGTATCCAGTCAGTTTTTGTGGCAGCTGGCGGGATGCTAGTGCCAGTCTCTTGGGGCTGGGCTCCACTCTGTCTGCCGCAAACACCTCCAAAACATCACGAGACGTGCCTTGTTCACGTCCTTGCCGTCCGCCAGGCCTAGTCCTGGTGAAATACTCACGACTTTGACACACCAACTCGTCGCTTGTTCCAAAGAAACCCTCTTTTCTTTCTCCCGCTGTTCCTACGCGCAAGACAGCCAACATGAGGAAATGAGTGTGAGCTGTCGGCCAGTTCACGAGTCTGTCGACGCGTTGCTAACGCCCTCCCAGGTTGCCGGCTTCACCTCGAATTCCCAACGCCCATTTAGCCTGCTCAAGATCATTGGCGGCTGGGGAAATGTTAGGTCCGTCATTCCCGACGTCGAACAGTACCGGATGCCATCTAACAGCTTTCAGCGGTCCCGGACTAGTGTATGCACTGCGTTGCGAGGCCGTTTTTAATTATAAAAGCTGTATGTTTAAAATTTATATAACTTGAACATTTAGATCCTAAAATTTCTCGCGGCAAGGAGTCATGCCAACCACCTTGAATTCAACCAACAGACGGCAGAATGTTTCGGAGCCTCTTGGCAGGTACATACACAGCCGTAGTCGTCGGCATCAGCACCACCCTCGTCGCCAGCGCTCTCTGGGGGACAGCCGCCCTCCCGTTCGTGCTTGGTTCATCTCTCGGCTTCACCATCGGCAGTCTGCGGTGGTACGTGTCCGCCGAGAGAGCTGCCTTGTTTGACCTGTATAGGTACCCTTCACAGTTGAGGCTTCATCTTCTGGCGAATTTCCCATACCACGGCGAGTTTAGCCGCAACGGAGTCGAGTGGTATGCGCCTGGCAGGTTCAAGTCCAGCTGGACGTTGAAGAGTATGGTGGTTGCAGCCTGGCTCTCCGCACAGCCGGCGATTGAAGACATTCAGACGAGGACCGAGTCAGAGGTTGTGGCTGGTTATACTGTTGATGACTACATGATGGACGGGAATCGAGAAAAGGAGGAGTAGGCAGCCCGGCCAGAACAACGGGTTTTCGGGCGCCTGTCAGCTTTCCTGGGTTTTTCTTTGTGAAAACTCAACTGAAAATTCTAATTAGGGAAAAGTACTGCTCATATGAGACACAACGCCTTCGTGGATCGCATCCCCTTCCGCCCGCCGCCGTGAGCTGTACTCGCGCTTTGCGTCATATCATATGCGTGTCGAATATGGCGGCACTCTACTGGCGATCTCGCCTGTTGGCCCTGATTCAGCCCCATGAGCGATGCGAATCCTCTGATTTCGGTATTCTGCTCCCCATACAGGACGAGCCTCCGACGAGTCTCACGTTCCTGCAGGCCCAGGGCCATGACCGTCAATCGGTGCACCATCTCGCTTGCCAAGAACCCCAGAATATCCAACACGTCGTCACTGGCCTTGTGGTCCGCTACGACACCCAGTCCGCACCATTGCCGGAATTTTACCACCCGACGCCTGGTAAAGGAAGCGTGGCGGTATTCCGACCATGTTGCATACTCAGCGACAGTCATGTTGAGTGTTTTGGCGTCGGCAGCCCTCAACTTTTCCAGATTCCTCGCATCTAGCTCCTCGTATGCGGCCGAATCGACTGGACCTGGTGGGAGCTCACCATACCGAGTGTTGATGTCCCAAGGAAGCCTGGCTGAAGCTGCAACGGCCCTGCTAGTCTCCAATGCATCGCCCAAGCCGCCTTGCATCGTGTCGGCGTCTTCGACGTCCACTTTTTCCATGTCTTCGTCATCGGTCCTTGACGATCTTCGAAGTGCCTTCAACGAGAGAAACTTTTGAACTCTTTCGACTCGCGCAGCGTCGTGTCGGAATTGGAAGATGAGGTCGTTGTTGGAGAATGTCCGACAGCCACGCCGGGAAGCATACTCGTCAGCTGTGGTTATCTAGGCGAATGCTTTAGCTACGGTTGCCGTTAAAGCCGAACCTGGTGCAATGAAGGGTATATTACTAGGTGAATCACTTGAATTTTGATGATAGTCTCGATCAGGGACACGGTTTCCGTGGATGCGCTCTCAGCCTCGCCCGCGACGTACATCATCTATTCGAGATTAGACTAGAGGTCAAAGACGGGACTGATATCCCGTACCTGCCGGATTTCCGAGGCGAATACGGGTGGCGTAGACATGATGGAAAATGGCTCTGGTGCGCGTAGATTTCTAGGCCGACGTCGATGTGTGGAGGGTGCAGGCCGAAATGCGCCTCTGGACGATTAGACAGTATTGGTAACTTTAAGATTTAGAAATATTCTTTTTATTTGGGGTAGTATAGAAGGAAGAAATCTTTGTCGAGTTTGTGGTTCGGGGTGAAGGAATAGAGTCTCCCATTTTATATTCATGGCCAGATGGGATGCTGCTCGCCCCGGGTCCCGCGCCGACTTACACGCATCTGACCCAACCTGCGTTGGATTTGACGAGCGACGCAGGGTCTTTTTCGACGGGGCATGAGCTTGGGCTTGTTCAAATTTCATGTGGAGACGAGGTGGAGGTTCTGCATATTATGGCTGCGCATGTGCTTTTTCTACCGGAACACGGCCAATGACGAGGCGAGCTCGGAATTTCGCTGGATTTAATGGAGCATTCAGTAAGCTCCCAGTTTCTCTAAAAGATCGACTTGCCTCGCCTTGTCTTCCGTTGGTACTCAGCTGGCCCTGACTTTTCAACCGTCAGCTTATCAAGGTCACCACCCACCCCGGACCTCTTTCGTGAGCGATGCGATACATTTACCGCCATCGAGGTGTCGAGTCACCCCAGGTCGCGCAGGCTCAAACACATGGTCTTCTTTGGAAAGCATGTCGTCGATTGTGAAGAGAAGCTACTTGACAACTTTTGACGGACCACTTCGCTTGTTATCCCTGTGTTTATAAGTCCTGATGCTACTGAACCATACTACGATGGATGCCTCTCGAAGAGTCGACGCCAAAGTCGCTATAGTCCCCGACGCTGAGGCGATGTGTCTGTTGGTGGCCTTTGGTACGTTGCGTATTGTTGCCATGAACGGTTTACTCACTCGTTGGCCAGATGCTGCACTTCATTATGCCGCAATCTTTCAGCTGTCGCCGGTGTCCAGCATTCTCAGCGGCCTGAAGATCTACAGAGCACCCATCTTCATGCACACAACAGGCATCTAAGGCGTTATGTTCTGGATGCCAGAGCGCAGCGTTTTCGTTCCTATTTAGTATTGGTGTTCCTGGTGTAACAAACTAGCAAGTTCAACCGGCTCGCCAGACACGCGAGACACGAAACTTCAAACCTCGACACTCACCCACAATGTCGTCAACGGCCTCTGTGAATGCCACAGGACAGCTTCTTGTTGCTCCCTCCGAGCCCTTTGCTAGTCGACCCTTGAGCACCTCAACAGACACTATCAGGCTTCTCACCATTGAGCCCGAGTCGAGCAAGCAAGGATACCTCGTTTGCAGTCTTCACGTCGCCTCATTTTCTCCGCCACGAAAGTACGAGGCTCTGTCCTCCGTTGGGGCGATGAGTCTGTTCAGAAGACCATCATCGTCGACGGCGTCGGCGTGACAGTGACGGAAAACCTGCACGCGGCTCTGCAATATCTTCACGCTCACCCGCGCGGCTGTCCGCTCTGGATTGAAGCCGTGTCCATCAACCAGAAAGAAAGACGTCCCCGAGAAGAGTCGTCAACTGCGAATCATGCCGCATATTTACTCTCGCGCTGCATCTGTGCTTGTTTGGCTGGGTACACAGTACACCACTGTCGATGCTGACGTCGACAGCCATCTCCAGAAAGCGGTACAAGACGTGAGCGGCGATGAATATTGGCAGCGGGTGTGGATTCTCAAGGAGTAGGAAAAGCTCGCCAGGTTCAGGTCTGTTTCGGCAGTGTCGGACCGCTGGACTGGGATTGCTTTGTGCGGCATGTTGAGAAGCATGCCGGGAACAAGTACAGGCCATGAGGCGGACCAAGTACAGCGGTAGCTGCTCTCTGAAGAAACATTTGAACTTTTGGAAAATCACCTCGATGCCCTGTGCAAGGACCCCAGGGATAATATTTACGGCCTTGTAGGGCTGTCAGTCGACGGCCGTGACTTTCCGATTGACTGCGGCAAATCCGTTCTGGACGTTTGGGCAGACACGGTCCACTTCATGGGCCGTAGGAATCTCCAGGCAGAGAGGAATGGCGAAAAAGCAGCCTTTTGCAAACTACTCAGGAACTTGTTGGGAGGGGACAAGATGCGGAGCCTCATGCAGTTCCAGCACAAGCCGGGCAGCCAGTCCCTCTATGACCATCTGCGCGCCGAAGGAAGAGACGAGTGGGCGGCGTTTTCTTTCGAACTTACGACGACGTGCCTGGGCAGCATCATCTCCATGGGGCCTTTGATTTCGGAATTGCGCGCGTTGCTTGACCTCGCGGACAAGTGGGAGGCGGAGCTGCAGCGCGTCTATCGCAACGAGTATGAAGATGTCCTCGACGCGGCGCACCAAGAGCACGACGTGCTGATGCAGCATATTCTGGACGACAGTGACTCAGAACTGCCCAAGTTGACGTGTTTCGAAAATCACCGAATAGACTTCATCACGACGGACCACATGCATTCTCTATATCCGTAATCAAAGTACGACCCTGACGGGAGCGATGAGGACGACTGCATTTCGCCCGAGTGTGAAGGATCCTGGAACTACGCGTCAAGATTTCCGACGAGCCGCGTGTCGCAATCGTCAAGGAATCCAGTCCAGAGACGTGCCGTATAAAATCGCCATTGTCCCGCCGACGGCGCGGCTCGCAGATTTCATGTGCCGCATGCAAGGAGCGCCGATGAAGCATCGTCTTGCGACACGATTGCGGCAACTGGACTACGTAGCATGTGTGCGGGATAGCGGTGATGATGTAGGATCTGATGGGGGAGACGGCCGCGCCGGGCGCAGAGGCGAGTGAGGTACAGCGGATAGAAGGCATACTCACGCAGATTGTGAGGATGGACGCCAGGGCCTTTTATGCCCTGCTCTTTGGCAACGATGATGGGATGCAGGAACTGAAGGACAAGTCGCGCGCATTGGCTGTGTAGGGGCGGCAGTGTGCTGTTAGCTCCAACTGTCATTCAATCGCAATCGACTCGGTGCGTGTTTTGGGAGTCCGGCGCTCTGTAGCATGGAAATGACGATGAGCTTGGCTCTGATCAACCAAAGTGTTTGTTTCCTATTGCCCTCGTCATAGCTTACTTCAAAGCTTCTTCAGCATGCTCCAGGGTTAAAAGTTATGGATAGGTGGAACGTGCGAGTCGTCTCAAGTTGGAGCTTGGCAAAGCAAGGATGCGATCCCCCTTCTCATGCCTGCTCATAAGGCTCGGCAAAGACAAAGATGAGACGACGCGTGAATAATCCTGAGAAAAATTCACGACAACTATGCGCGCAGTCAAACCGCCACCCCCCCGGTCCCTAATTCCGCGTCTTCGTATTGCTTTCCATCATTGCGATGCGGCATACAAGTTTGCCCCGTGTACCGCTGAGAGCATGATTGACCGGTCGCAACTGAAGATCAGACAAGCTTCTTGCCTTGAGTTTCCAAACTGTATGACTTATACTAGATCTATCATGTAAATTGTAAAACGAACCACTTCCCAATGCCTTTATACCAGATCCATTACATAACTGGAAAAGAAAAACCACCTTCTCCATCTAGCAACGCACCCTGAACGGATGGGCCTCGGTATTAAACACAAACTCGTTCCCACCCCGTCCGTGGAACTGCACGGCAGAATCCCGCGCAAACGTGAGATACGAGTACTTGAGCGTCTCGGCCAGGAAGAAGCTCTGCTGGAAGTTATCCTGCCCCCCGCCATTCTTCTGCATCACGTCCCTGATTCCGGAGAAGCCGTACTTGGCCTTGCACAGGTCACGGATGGCGGTGAAGGCCTCCCAGACCATGTCCCGGTACTTGTTGTCCCCGGTGACGCGGTACGCATAGTACAGGCTCTCGATGGTCTCGGGCCGCAGGATGTACGCTCTGGACGAGGGCCAGAACCCAGCCGTCTTGTAGAAGCCGGCCTGGTCGTCGTCGGGCGGACTGCCCCCATCGGCTGCCACCCATTGGAATCCTTCGGGGCCGATGCGGGCCGGCGTCTGCTTGTACGTCTCGTAGTACGAGGACGCGAGGTCAAGCCCAAAGTCGGTGTACTTGGACTCGTTGAGCACGACGCCCGCCAGGATGAAGTTGCCGCCGGCAAAGGAGGCCACTGGGCGCCTGTTAGCGAAAACCTACTTGGGGTCGACGATGGCCTCACTTACAGTGCCCGGACCAGTGGTCGATTGTCTGTCCATCGTATCCCGCCAAAAACGTCAAGTCCGGCCGGCTCGTGGGGTGCGAGGCGAGATGCTCGATGGTCGAGTCGGCGGCCGCCACCCAGCGGTCCTTGTAGAAGGAGAACTCGCCCGGATCATAGAGGAACATCTTGATGAGATATTCGTAGAAGCTGTCGGTGCCGCCTCCCCACCCGCCGCTCTGGTCTTGGAACTTGCCGTCTTCGATGGAGACGGTGTATCCAATCAGGCCGGGGAATGGCTCGGGCTCCCCGGCCGGATGGACGAGGTAGCCTTGGGCTCTCTGGGCAAGCTGCGCATACGTCTTGTTGCCCGTGAGGTCGCTCAGGCGTGTCCATTCGAGGACCAAGGTGCCGAACCCGGCCGGGCCATTGGACGTTGAGCCCCCGATGCGGCGGGTAGGATTGAGGAAAACGGCGTCGTCAGGCACGCCGCTAGGCGTGTCAAAGGCAATGCTGAGGCTGTCAGCTAGCGACGTGGCTTGTTTCAGGAGAGCGTCGACATGTGCCGTGTTGGTGTCGTCGACGAGGCTCTTCATGGGGCCTTTTAACAGGTCGTAGCCTTGGGGATGGTTAGCGCAAACAATGCTCAGGTCTGGGAAGAAACAGGGCTTACCGGCTAGTAGTCCGCCGAGGTATCGAATGTTGGTTTCAAACAGGGAGATTGACGAGTTTTCCTCCTTGGTGGTGGTAAAGTCAACTGTGGCCGCGTACTTGAGAATCTGGTTGACAATGCCGGATTCCTCCATTACTATCGCCGTGCTCAACGAGTCAATCGGCGTCACACCCCATGCGTTCCTGCATTTGCTGTTAGCCACATGGTCGCGTTGGAAATATTCACAGACCCCCCGGAAATCCTCACCTGTCGTCCGAGTCACCGCCGGTAAGCGGCAAAAGAGTGTCATGAGGGAACGCGTGTTCGTAGTAGCCGTTCCACGCCGTGCGGAAGACATCTTTTACTTGCGAGGCCTTGGAGGTGTCGGCTTCTGTTGCGCCTCTTTCGAGCAGCGACCTTGTTGGATTTCCCAGTCCCGGACTGGCGAGAAGTGCGGCAACGGCACACGCCGACGGGGACAGCATTTTGAAGACCATGATGGCGTCAATGAGTGGCAGTGACGCGCGACCTATGAAAGCCCTGCCGCATCAATTATTCTGAACCAATGCACACTCAAGGATAATATTTGGTTTGGGGATCCCAAGGGCCCTTTTAAGTGAGCCAAGGTCCCAAGATGCTGCGTCGCGTGGTGGCATCACAATTTCCCGGGGTGTTACTCTAAGACACTGCATTCATTATCCGTGTCAAGCCACAAGACGTTCTCGATGCAACATAGGGCCTGGATGGGCCGAGGGGAGCATTGCATCCATTGCATTGTTCAATAAACTCATCCCGCCTTTGAGTCTGAGTTTACAAATCACGTCGTCTATGCGACCAGCATCACAGGTTCTATGAGTGGCACGGGTGCTTTGATACCACCTTGTGGACGGGATCCCACCGGCCGAAAGGGGAAATGCGGGCCGTTACGAGTAATGGCGTTTCATTGCCTAGAGTTGGAGGCGGCACATGGGCATGTCTGCGGGATGAGATGGCTCCGTGGAACGCCTCCAGCCTTGATGCATCCAAGGTGCATGAGTGGCATTCAGCAGGGCACAGGGCCGCTCCAGTCAGGGATCACGGGAGCTGCAGGTCAGCCACATGATGACACTTGGAATGAGGCCAAGAGATCATCTTCTTAGTGCACAACTATAACCCAATGAGGAGTCAGTCCTGCCAAGGGATTACAAACACTTCTAATCAGGGCGCCCAAGGCAAGGGTTTAGTTAATAGCAACGAGTTTCGACGCTAAATTGGCGTCTGAAGCCGCCGGACATGGACCAGCAACTGTATCCTTGTGTGCCTCGTTCAACCAACAAACTGCTCCAGACTACCCATCTGCGTCTTGTTGCGTTATGGAAGAAAGAAAAAACCAAGCAACCATCACTAGTCTTCATGCGACGCTCTCTTGTTGGCTCTGGTATTACCCCAATCAAAGAAAAACACCTCATGTTAGGCCCTTCTCTTCTCTGCCAACACTCAATTGCTCAACTAGCTAATTATAGACTCCCATTACACGCGAGACCACGAATAAGGGTATAATCGGCTCTGTCCACGCCAGCGCTCCAAGTCTCAACCATGCCGGGGTTCCACAACTCTCATGCCAACGGCAACCCGGTGACCCGATCCAAGTTTCTGCTCCCAAGACAGTGCGCTGGTATGTGCATCCTAGACGACGGACAACATGCTGTCTCTGGAAGAAGTTGGCAACAGGCACCCGAAACTGTGGCAAGCATTAAAATAAGGGCGCACCGAGCGGAAGAGGAACCTGACAACCAGATTTTCAGCTACAAGCTGCCATGGATACAGGTGTCTGGTCAACAGAGGGGGGGCCTTTCCATCTGAAAAGACAAAACGCTCAAGTCTGGCACTCAGTCATTCGGGGCCCTATGCTTCTTTGTTGATACTGTAGTGCCGAGTTTCCTTACTTTCTAAATTTTGAGGCTTGCAGATTCCTTTGCCTGCATTCAAATGTTCGAGGCAGAAAAGCTTCAACACTTCCTACACAAAGTCGGCCCATCTTCATGACTATCATCCAGAAATCCAATCTGCATCTTTTTTATTTGTTTCTTCACAGACTATTGATTTTTCGGAAAGTACGAGAAATATTTTTGGTAATAGAGTCCACCATGGCGTGGTATGCCTTGGCTAATCACCAGAGCCGGAGATAAGTAAACCGTCAATACCAAATATTGCAGGAACACGAAATATTCAGAGTTCGACAGCCTTGTCCAGAGTGGCTTCAAATCGTGTCCCTGCAATGCGCCCCGCAAACTTCAGGCAATATTTTGGCCGAGACATGACGGTCATTGCGTTGTAGATGCGTATCTCACTCCACTTCACGATAATAAACAGTGTATCGCTGACCGGGTCCCGTATCGATTCCTGCTCCGAATCAATGCCCGTTTGGCATGCAGTAATTACTCGACGAGAAGGAGGGCGCGTAGCACAAGAGCCCAGTCCTATTGAAAAGACTGCCGTTAGCATAGACTGCGACTGCGACAACGGATTCAGAGAGTCCGCTTTGCCACATTCAAAGAGAGCAGAACTCATCGCCACATGGAACGTGAAGTCCTGCTTTTTGCTATAATACCACACTTTATCAAGACTCCACCTGGCGATGATTTTGCGTTAGATTGTACGCTGTGTTACATTTTAAGAACATATGGGCTCACCCTGTATTCATAGCATTTCCTGTTTCATGTAAATGTAGCGGAGTTTTGACTTCCAGTGGCCCCCCTCGCCCGCATTTATACTTTAACAAGACACTTTTACTTACATAGCTATAAAGCTGGTACTGTAATTATTTATTATACACTCTACATTTTCACTCACCGGAGTTACAAACCGCTAACCAGTGACTTTAGCCCCCGACTCGTTGCCGTTGCCGCTTTACGGAGAACCCACAATGGCCACATCTATACCCAAGGTTCGCGTTGGGGTAGCAGTTTTTATACTGGCCTCAAAGAATGAAGACCGGGAAAACCCGCGATTTCTCGTTGGCCGACACAAGGGCTCTCATGGTGCTGGCATAATGGCCCTTCCGGGTGGCTATCTAGAGTTTAGAGAGGAGACCGAGGAATGTGCTGCCCGTGAGCTGCTTAAGGAGACTAGTCTTAAAGTTACTAATATCCGGTTCTTAACCGCTATTAATGACTTTATACCTAAAGACACTAAGCACTATATCACTCTATTCCACGTCTGTGTCCGGGAGAACGATAGTGACGAACCTCAGTTATTAGAGCCTGATAAATGCGAGTCCTGAGAGTGGATTACTTGGAATGATTCGCTGGGGTGGATTCAGACTTCGCAAAATAAGAGCGCCGAAAATAACGACCTAAAGCATAAGATCTTTATTCCACTCCTAAATATTACGAAGCAGAGACCAGGTGTTCGCCCAACTGATGTCTAACCAAACCAATAGATGGGGACACCACTCTACGAGTTATGTATTACGGATGTAGTTCGAGGTAAATGTATTTACTTTGTAACTCTTGTAACACTATCTACCCTAAAGTAACCCCCAGCCAGCGTCTGCCATTACTAACCCTAGCCCCTATATACGCCTTCTACGAGGGTATTATTAAAGCTACTGAAACGATTTCAGTAGGCCTACACTTTTTGCTCTTTTTAGCGCAATAACAGTACCTTGACACAAAAATATTTGCTCAACTATAGTTATTAGATTTACGGCTATGTCTAAATGCTATGTAGTTGATATTATCGTAGACGCCTTTTCTTGAGCCACGGCGGAAAAGAGGTTATAGAGATAGTAGATTAAGTACGCTCGGAAGAGTTTATATAGTTAGTTGACCTAGTTATAACAGACGTAAAAGATGTGATTTAATGTAAAGCTACTTACTACTAGTAACTTATAGCTTAATATATACTTTAATTTTATACCTTTAAGATAATAATAAGTTTATTAACTTACGTTTAAGCTCTTAAATAGCTTTACATTAAATTAATTTAAAATAATAAAGCTATAAATAATTAAGGGAACCTTTATTAATAGATTATTAAAGATTAATTATTAAAGTAATTACTCCTAGTAAAAACTAGTATAATTAGCACCTATTACCTAAATTTAATATATTATTTAATTAGTATTAAATAGCCTATTATAAAGTAAATTTCGTATTAATATATTAAGCTTTAGCTTAAAGATATATTAGAGGTTATAAAGACTTAAAAAGAATTTATTATACCTTAAATATATCTTAAATAATAGAATTAAATATTATCTTTTAAGTATTAATTATAAATACTCTTCTTATTAGCTAAATGTAACGGTGGCTTAGGTTCTAAGGCATAGTAGGTCTATTTCTTAGAAAGTAAGTTAGGTTAAATATTATAAAGTAACTTTTTAAGT